ACCCCCGGGGGTTGCAGTGACCCTGCTCTGCCTGCCAAACCCACTCTCCCCTTGCAGCCTGCCAGTTTTCTCCATCCAAGAGAGCCCATTTGGGGACACTCCCCTGGGTCGAAGCCACTACTGGCCTTCCCGAAGCCAGACCTGGCACCCCAAGGTGAGGACACCACCCCACAGAGAGTGCTGTGTGCCAGTCCAGTAGGAAGGGAGTGACGACTAGAGGGAAGGAAGACACGTGATGATGGGGGTGAGAGATTAAGAGACAGTCGCTCCTCCCTTCCCATGGCCCTGCCCTTATCCAGTCCTCTGCCACCATCACAGCTGCAGTCACTCTTAGTTGTTGCCATTGTGAGATGTGTTTCCTCCTCTCTGGACTAAGACTTCATGTGTGTCTTCATTCCTCCACAAGGATGACCTCAGGCCTCACTTTTTCTTCTCCACACCTCCCCTGTCTTAGACCCAGAGCCCATGCAAGACCCAGACATCCAGGCTCCCAGCAGCTCCCAAAGTTCTGGCCACAGGTCCCAACTCCCCTGAGCCATTCGAGGATTCCTGGCCCTCCAGCTCGGGGACCCCTTCCCCACCCAGCACCACCGAGGGACAGATCGGAGCCTCCTCACCACCCACCCTGATTGACAGTGGGGACTCTGTGGTGGCCAAGTAAGTACGCCCAGCCCTGGAAGGAAACAAGGTTTTGGGTGAGGGGCAGGGGGCAGGCATCCCATAATCATCATCAAACCACAGCTGTTTATGCAGCACTTTTAGGACCACACTTCATGTGTGTCGTTAAGAGCTCTGGAGCTAGGCTGCCTGGGTTCAAATCCCAGCTCTGTCACTTACTCTCTGTATGATCTTGGCCTCAGTTTCTTCATCTGTAAATTGGGGATATTAATAACACATATCCCCTAGGGCTGTTTTCAGCTTTCAATGAGTTATTGTCTGTAAAGCATCTGTAACAATGCCTGTCGCATGGTGAGCACTGGATTTGCAGGATACAAGTTCAGGTGCTGTAACAAAGAGTCCCTAATTAATTGTGGCTTAAACAGGTAGCATTTATTTCTCCCTCACCTAACAGTCCAGGCAGAAGCAACCAGGGCTGATATGGCAGCCCCTTGTTGAGTTGTCAGAGACAACTTCCTTCTATCTTGTTGCTCTCCCATCCCGGGGTCTGTCACCTTTTCCTTCATGGACCAAAATGGCTCCCAACCACATCTACTCTCCAGAATCATGTATCCTCATTCGTGTTGGTCAAACACCTAGTTACATGGCCATAAAGCTACAGGGGCACCTGGTAAAAGTATCTAGAGAAAAGTGGCTCTGTGCCCAGCATTATTATTATTATATAGTCTTATGTAATATTGCATTACTATATAAGAAAGGAGAATAGACATTGAGGGACCACTACCAGGACTGCTATGGTGCTCCATAAACATCGGCTATTGTAACTATTATTATTGTTATGATTTGGCTCTCCTCACCACCACCACCCCCACCTCCCATTCTCTGATGCTCACAGGTACATCAACCGGTTCCGTCAGGCTCAGCCCACGAGCCGGGAGGAGCGCCAGCCTGCAGGCCCAACCCCGGCTGACTTTTGGTGGCTGCAGCCTGAATCTCCAGACCCCAGCAGTCAACTTGCAGCAGGTACCTGCTTCAGTGCCATCCCCTCTAGACCTAAAACTTTTCCTAATTAATGCCCCAGCAGCCCCTCCCCTTGGCCCCCTAATCAATTGGGGCTTCTCAGCAGGAGTCAGTGAACCAGGAAGAAGACTCAACACAGCAGTCCCGACTCTTGCCAAGGTGGCCAGCACATCACAGGCTAAGGCTGTGGCCCCCCTTCAAGAAATAAAGCAGGTGACATCCCCTATCCACTCTCTCCCCTATGTGCCTCAACTGCCAGCACCAGCCCTGGGATGGAATTAGAGTCAATCCCCGGTTCAAGGAAGATTAAACAAAGAAAGGAGGATTTGTTGGCTTATGCAATCAAGAAATCCAAAAGTAGATGCTTTCAGGCATGGCTGGATCCAGATGTTTGAACAGTATTGGGAGGAACTTGACTCTCTTGGCTCTCTGTTCCTCTTTGTTGGGCTCAATCTCAGGCAGGCTTTCCCCTCAAAGTAGCTAAGATGGCCCCAGTAACTCCAGGCTTCTAACTTACTTAGTTACTCCAGTGGAAAGAGAAGGCTTTTCCAATAGCTCCATCCAGAGCCCCAGGGCTTACTCTCATTCGCTCATCATTGGGCCAATCACTGTGAACCAGAGGACAGAATGTTGTGATTAGCCAGGCCTGGTCAGGAAGGTAGGGTCTGCCCTTCTCCCACAGCAATGACTGCACTGAGGGGTGTGGATCCACAGAGGAAAACGGGTCTCTCTTCCCGAGGAGGAGGAGCAGATTCTTAGCCAGCATGTAAGGGTACCAGGTGGAGTGCAGACCTGCACTCCAGGCCCTCTCTCCAGATGCCTTTCCCAGCAGCCTTTGGGATGGGGGCTGGCCTCTGACCCCTCTCACCTCGCAGAGCCTCAACACATGGAACTCATCCATGCTGGACCTGGAGACGCTGAGCCTGCAAAGCAGAGCTGCCAGGCTGCTCCAACGCAGGTGCCTCCCCATCTGCATCCTCCCCCCCCCCCCCCCGCCTGCAGCTCCAGGCCGGGCCCACCGCCTCTGAGACCACTGTGGTCTCACTTCTGCCTTCTCCCCACAGCAAGGCCTCCATCTCCTCCTCCTCCTCCTCCTCCTCCGTCAGCCCCGGCGATGCCAGCAGCTCCTCATTCCCCATCAGCTCCGATGGCCTCTCTCCCTTCTCCATGACTTTCATCCCTGACTCCAGCAAGGACTCTGACCCCAAGGTGCATGGTAAGTCCTGGGAGGCAAGGACTGAGGGCAGTCTCGGTGTGAATCCCAGCTCTGCCACTTACCAGCAGTGTGACCTGGGCCTTTCTGGGCCTTGTTTCCCCAACTTTAAAACAGGGGTAAGAATTGTGCTCCTCTGCTCTGGGTGTAGTGAGGACTCAGTGAGCTGGTGACTACACGGAGCACTTAGCACAGCTCTGCTACCAGGAGCAATCATTAGTGCAACATGTTCTCTCTGCATCTGGTCTGTGGTTCTGAACACAAAGCTCCAAAATCAGGTTTTTTGCAAAATTGGCACTGTACCTGATTTGACAGCAAAATCTGACCTAAACAATAGGAAGGATATTTATAATCTCTCTATACATATATATATGTCTCACTTAGGGTGAATATTCCTACCTTTTGCTCTGGATATATAGTACATTGAACCATATGAAATTTTTGTCTTATAAGTAAAAAATGGTTGACTATTGGCAATTTCATATTATTCAACCAAATACCAATGTGTGAGTCTGATGTGCTGTCCCAGACCCCTGTCTCTGCTGTCGGTACCATGAAACCTTGCTAAAACATGCAAACTGTTGAACTCTCAAATTTCTGCCCCCGAGATTTCAGAGAGGGGATTAAGGACCTAGGTTAGTATTCCTGCCGTCATTATTGTTGCTGAGACTCTGTGCCCGGGGCCTGGGATGCAGTGGTGGACAGGCTGATGCTCCCCATGGCTCAGGGGCTCCCATGCATGGGGACAGGCGAGCGCAAGTAAACAGGTGTTCATGTGATCCTGCCCGAGCACCCGCCTGTCTGATTCTTCCCTCCTTCTAAGCTTCACCTTTTATTCACCTCTCCTTCCTGAGCCTCAGTTTTTCTCATCTGTAAAATGGGGATAAAACTAGTACCTACTTCATGAGTTGTTTTGAGTGAATGAATAAACTTATTCATTCCTTCATCTAACAAACCTTGAATCCCTACTGTGTATGAGGCCCTGGGAGCGGGATGAGGGATTCCACGGTGAACCAACCATCCCACCGTCAGGGTCCCCACAGCAGAGTGAGCGTGGGGCAGAGAACAGATACATAACCTCACAAAGGTGAAACGTAAATAGAAATGGGGGCCAGGCAGGAGAGGATCGTGCTGCTGGGAAGTCAGAGAAGGCCTTCCCAGAAGAGGGGCTATCTAAGTGGAGACCTGAATGATGGGGAGCGGGGCAAGAGCCCTCTAGCATGTACAGAGGACCTGAGGTGGGAGGGAGCATGGTGCAGACAATGGACTAGAAAAGGTGGGAGCCGGGGGTGAGAGTAGTGTGGGAGAAGGTGGGAGAGATTGGCAGAGGTCAGATTACATTGGGCCATGTATGCATGGTGAGGCGTTTGGTCATTATCGTAGTACTGGGGAGCCAAGGGAGGTTCTGAGCAGGGAGGGGACATGATCTTTCCTGGGTGTTAACAGACCCCCTCTGGCTACTATCAACACCCAGTGAGCAACGCTAGTAGTTCGACTTGGGCCAAAGCCTGAGGAGCAGATTAGAGGCAAGTGGCCAGGTTTGGAAATAGAATCACAGGATACAGAGGGGAGGGGAGGAGAGAGAGTTCTGAGATGATGCCTCCTTCTCTGTACAGCGTCAGATGGTGGGGCTCCTGAGAGAGAATGGTAGCCCTCCTGATCCTGACTGATGGGATGGTGCTCTGGGTGATGGGAAGGATGTCTTTTTGCCCCACTGGCCTGAGGACAGCAAGTGGCCCTGCCCTTAGTCACTGCTGGATCCCAGCACAGGGCTGGGCACTGGCATGGAGCACAGTAAACAGTTCATTCTGCATTTATGCCACACATACTGTCACCAGGCCCTGTTCATGACACTGGGCATATGGTAATGGCCAGACAGACAAAGATTGCTGCCCTTGTTTGCTGGCATTGTGGAGGGAGAGATAAACAATATGAAAGAAGTATGATATTTAGTATGTTAGAAGGTGATAGTGCTAAGGAGAAAAATGGAAGAGGAAAGAGGAGAGGGAGGGGCAGGGCTGGGGGCTGTTGCAGTTTTGAATGGGGTAGCCAGGGAAGGCCTCACTAGTGGTGATATGTGGGCAGAGATCTGAAGGATTTGAGGAGTGAACGCCCGGATACATAAGGGAAGAGCTTTCCAAGCAGAAGGAACCACAAGTGCAAAGGGTTTTGCTTTTTACCAGGAGAGAGGTGCAGCCTGGGGAGGATTCTAGCCCAAGAGGGCTCTGACTCTGGTGTTCACAGGCTCCCTTTGGGTGCAGGTGGGGAACACACTGGGAGGAGAGGCCAGTGGGGAAACCAGGGAGGAGGCTGCTGTGGGGTCGGCCCCGGGTGAGGGCAGTGAAGCGGGGAGAAGTGGGCAGAATGTGGAGGATCCATCCTGTCCACTGCTGTACCCACAGTGTCCAGAGCTCAATAAATGTCTGTTGATGAGTGAAGAACTGAATGATGGCAGGTTGAGATGCCCACCAGTGCTCTCTCCTCTCCCTCTGTCCCCTTCCCCACTTCCCACTCCAGAGAGGAGCTGGACGTTATCTGGGGAGCCTGTCTCAATAACCTTCTGGTACAGTGGAAGGGTGTGTGTGCAGGCTGTCGTTGGGATGCTCATCACCCCGGTCCCTCCCTTACCCCCCCTTCCCTTACTTACCCCACAGCAACGCCGGCGCTGGCCCCCATCCCTGCTCCAGCCCCCGTCTCCTCCCAGGCACCCCTGCGGCCGGAGGATGACATTCTGTACCAGTGGCGGCAGCGGCGGAAGCTTGAACAGGCCCGAGGAGGTCAGGGTGACGGGACCTGGGTGCTGCCGCGGACCCCTGCCCTCCCCACTCAGGTGAGATGGGGAAGGGAAGGGAGGAGCCTGAAGGAGGTGGAGGGGGGAAGAGGAGCCTGAGGAGGACTGAGGACCCTCTAACCTTTCTCTCCCTCTCAGGTCCCTGTCCCCATCTCCCTACAGACCTCTCCTGCCCCTGCGGAGACCTCTGGTTCCCTGGGAACCCAGCCTAACGGCGTCCCACTTTGGGGGAGTGTTGCCCGGCCTGGCCCCCCTGAGGCCTTCTATTTAGAAAGGCCTCCTATTCCCCCAGGGTTCTCTCCACACTTCTTTTGGGGCCCCAGCCCCCATGGGTTCTTCTGGGCCCCGCAGTCTGGTTCCTGGGTATCTCTGGGGGCTGTTCCCCCGACGTCCCCGGTGTCTATCCCCGCGCCTCCAGCCTCCACCTCTGCGCCCCCGGCCTCCACTCGCGCAGCCCCGGCCGCCCCCCAGGGCCCGCCCACCCCTGCACCAAGCAGCCCTGCCCAGCCAGAGAGGCAGGGCCCCAAGCCTCGGAGAAGCAGAGCCCCTCACCGGGAGACTGCTGGCTGGATCACAGCCGGGGACGAGGGGCCCGGGCCGCAGCTCAGAGGCGCCCTGGGCCAGGTGGTAACAGCTCGGCTGTTCCCGGACTGCCTGGAGGACACGCCCCCTCGCCTCGAGGGCCTGCCTCTGATCCAGGCAGAATCTCCGAAAGTCAAGGCCACACCCCGAAAAACCAAGGTTACGCCCCCTCGCTCAGAGGTCCCGCCCCCTCCGTGCGAACCACGGTTTCTGCAGGAGGAGACCCCGCCGGGGCGGTCTAAGGCCGGGTTTCGGAATGCCAAGGCCACGCCCCCCCTGGCGGGGTCTGTGCTTTGCAAGGCCGAAGACAGTCCCTCGGCTGAAGTCCGGGATCCGCAGCCCGGGGTCCCGTCCTCACCAGATGAAGAGGTGTCCACACGTGTCAAGGCCCCACCCCCTCCGTTTAAGGTGGGGTCTCACAGGGCTGTGGCCACGCCCCCGTCTACTGCTGACCACGCCCCCTCAGAGGACCTGCTGTCCCAGGCCACCCGACTCCTGGAGGCTGCCGAGGGTGAGCCAATGCACGTGGCTGCCTGGTCCTGGATGGCGGTCCAGCACCCTACGAGTTCCGCCCCCTGGAGCTCGCTGTTTTTCCCCCAGACTCCGACGGCAGCGAGTTCCAGGACGACCCTGTTCTGCAGGTGCTAAGGGTTCAGAGGGCAGAGCTTCGGCGGCAGAAAAGGTGACCATCACCAGGATCTATAACACTGGGCCTCTGAATCCTCAGAGAAGGCCGACTGGGTGCCTACCCCTCCCGAGCCCCTTTCCTGGATCTGCCCACAGCCCCAGACCCCAATCTGAGCACATACCTCAGCCTCTACTCCCCTGGCTTTTTTCCAGGAAAGTGGAAGCCCAGTTATCCCACCTGCTGGACCACACTGAAGACCCAGGGTCTTGGTCTCCTCCAGCCAGTTCGCCCCCCGGGTCCCCAAGGATGCGGCTGCGGAGGGAAGGGGTCTCTCTTGAGGCCAGACGACCTTGAATTGTACAAAGTCCCTTTTTCCCAATAAAAATTTTTTTTTCAGTTTACTTGTTGTCTCTGAGAAAGGGGTTGTTCTGGAAAGGCCAAGGGTCATGCTAATTTAGGGAAATGGCTCCCCCCTCCCCTACATCCCCACCCCACCCTGGCCCACCCCCACCCTAGTTCCTGACCATTGACACAAATCTCTTGGTTTCGTCCTCTTTGAGGGTAGGGCAGGGGAGGGGTTCCAGGCAAAACTGCAGGCAAGACTGGGACTCACCTTATCTGCCTCACAAACCTGGAGTGGATCCTCTGGTCTCAGATGAGGCCAAAGGGACTGTCCTCTGGGCATGAAGCTAATGGGGTCATCAGAGTGTTGGGCAATGTTTAGTCCTCAGTCCACATCCTGCAGGAGCCAGCAGCAGCGCGGATCCCTCCCTCGAAGCACTTCCTTCCCTGCTTCCAGAACCCCACCCCTCTCTCACCTCTGGTCGTGCCTCCTCACTGCCCCAACCTGTCACTTTGGCATGTCCAGGGCCCTGGCCTTGACTTCTCTATACTCATTTCCAGGTGCTCTCATCTAGCTTCATGGTTCTAAGCTGCATCTCTATTCTGATAGCCCCTAAACTTCTATCTTCAGCCTAGACCTGGCCACTGAACCTCAGGCTCCTATATCCTGTTACAAGCTCACCATCCCCACTCAAAGGTCTAAGAGATGACTCCAACTCCACGGGTCTTAACTGAGCCCCCAATCTTCCCCCATAAACCTGCTCCTCCCTGGGCTTCCTCAGCTCCATCCTAGCTGCTCAAGCCAAAAGCCTCATAATTGTCCTTGACTCCTCGTTTCCCTCACACCAACAGTCAGTTGACCAACAAGTCTTGTCATCTCTACCTTTAAGATCTATCCAGAATTTAACCCCTTCTTCCCCTTCCACCGCTATCACCCCAGTCTAGGCTATCACCACCAGTCTGGACTATTGAAAAACCCATTGTTTTGTCTGCAAATTCTTTTACACACTTCTTACCAAAAAGTAGAGTCTATGAGAAGAAATAGAGAATCTGAATAGACCAATCACAAGTAAAGAGATTGAAGCAGTAATCAAAAACCTCCCCAAAAATGAAAGTCCAGGACCAGATGGCTTCTCTGGAGAATTCTACTAAACATTCAAAGAAGATTTAATACCTATTCTCAAACTATTCCAAAAAGTTGAGGAAGATGGAACACTTCCTAACACATTCTACGAGGCCAACACCACCCTGATACCAAAGCCAGACAAGGACAAAACAAAGTAGGAAAATTATAGGCCAACATCGCTGAAGAACATAGACGCAAAAATCCACAATAAAATCTGGCAAACCGAATACGGAAATACATTAAAAAGATCATACACCATGACCAAGTGGGATTTATACCAGGGATGCAGGGATGATTCAAAATCCACAAATCAATCAATGTGATACACCACTTTAACAAAGTGAGGAAAAAAAACCACATGATCATCTCAATAGATGCAGAGAAAGCATTTGACAAGATCCAACATCCATTTATGATAAAAAACTCTCAATAAAATGGGCATAGAAAGAAAGTACCTCAACATAATAAAGACTATATATGACAAACCAACAGCCAACATCATACTTAATGGGGAAAAACTGAAAGCCATCCCTCTGAGAACAGGAACAAGACAACTGTGCCCACTCTCGCCACTCTTATTCAACACAGTACTGGAGATTTTGGCCAGAGCAATTAGGCAAGAAAAAGGAATAAAAGAAATCCAAATAGGCAACAAAGAAGTGAAACTCTTGCTGTTTGCAGATGACAGGATTTTATATATAGAAAACCTAAAGAATCCATCAGAAAACTATTAGAAATGATCAACAACTACAGCAAAGGTGCAGGGTACAAAATCAACCTACAAAAATCAGTTGCATTTCTATACTCCAATAATGATCTAACAGAAAGAGAACTCAAGAAGACAATCCCATTTACAATTGCAACAAAAAGAGTAAAATAACCAGGAATAAATTTAACCAAGGAGGTGAAACTATACAATGAAAACTATAAGACATTACTGAAAGAAACTGATGATGACATAAAGAAATGGAAAGACATCCCATGCACATGGATTCGAAGAATAAACATA